ACTGTTTTAGAACACTTTACCTTTTCCTGTATCACTAATAACTGGAGCTGGAAAAGTTCTAACAAGAGAAGCATAACCTAAAGTGTGAAAATGCACCTCTTCCAAAAGTCTTGTACAGGGATGTCAGTGTGACATAATCAAAAGCCAGAATGTGCCCTTGTACGTATATTTGACTCTATAAGGACCTGAGAGGCTTTTTTCTTCACACCATTTTCATTGTCTCTGCTTCACTGCTTTGAGATTCAAACAATTTATCATCTGAATTTAAAACCAACAGAAAATACCTGCTGTTTTGCCTTTGTCTCATTTGATAGACATGCAGCATTATCCCAATAGGAGTTTAAGATGATAAAAGATGAAGTGAGATAGAAGGCAGGCTGAAATGGTTATATCATCATTAACTTAAAGCACCCTTGGCTTGTACGATGTATTTGTGCTGTGTTGTAATTCTCAAATGAACAATTTGAAAGTAAATGAATAAAAATAGTATGATAGGCTAGAGGGGTGTTCATGACTCCAGATGTTACAGACTTAGAAGCTTTCCTAAAATTATGTGTGTTTGTGAAATAAAGACTTCCTGCATATTTCATGAATCTTCTCCCTTCCCTTTGGTGTGAGTTCAGAGCTATTAGAGTGTGGTTTGTGATGGAGAGAACATCCAAAACTGTGGCTATAACTTCACACCCTAACATATAGAACTCTGTTCTGGTTGTGCTGTCTGTCAGAAGCCAAATCAATCCAGCTGACATGGCACCAGTGGGATTCACGCTGTTTGCAGCAAAACTTCCACAGGTTTGGATGAGCCAGGGGAAGCAACGTTGTGCTCCTGGCAGCTGGGTGTAGGGCCTTGCTTTGTTTAACTCTGTGCATTAGTCACTGGGGAGAACACTTTAGGAGGTGTGTTTGAAGACATTGTTACTGCAGTGCATTGAGAAATATTAGCAGAACTTAGCAAGGCATCTGACCATAATCAAATATCCTTCTTAAATTAAAAGCATGTTTAAGCTATTCTGCTCAGCCTGTTCCTAGGTAGCTAATAAGGGAGTTAGATCCTCTTGCTCTATTTTGAGGATGTCTTATTGAATCATGCATAGAATGATGTGACTAATTTGTGGAACAGAAGTCCCTGTGCATCAGCTGTTCACTGTCGTTTTCCTAGGGGGAAGATAGAACTTTTTATGTTAAGAAACACTGATCATTCTTTTCAGCATATCAAAAGAACAAATGTACTGTAGGCTTTCCTATTGAAAAAAAAAATCATAGAACAAGTGGCTTTTATCTGTATTTCCATCATTACACCTGCATAAATCTTACTGATGCTAATAGGACTCGTGGCAAGGTAGGTAGAAGACAGTCACGCTGTCAGTGAGATGTGGAGCACAACAGAACAAGGCACACCACAGAAGTAGGGGGGGGTTCATCCCTGTAGGGGCAACCTGTAAGTGTGTAACTCAGCCTGCTCAGAATAAACCACTGGCTTGCAAAGCTGAGGCTCTCCAGATTGACATACCCAATGGTGGTTAATGCAGTGGTTGTGCAAACTTAGTGAATGCTCAACTTTATTGCTGCCTAGATGGATTTTTCCAGAGGGAAAAAGAGTTTGGTCTTTGCATCCGCTCTGCCATAGGCACACATATGATGTCTGTAATGGAAGACACCCAGGGAACAAACCAAAAGCACCTGGACTCTGTGGTTGGGAAGGAAGGGATGGGACTGAGGCTTGAGGTAGAGCTCTCAGTTGTGGGCATGATGGGGGTAAGCTGAAACCAGCAGGCTTACCTTGAGGAGTAGGAAAGGGGTGAGTGTGCAGTGCAAAAGGATCAAAGAGGCAGACTTGTGGGATCCTGTAGAGATTATGAAGGAAAATCAGCAGGCAGCATGTTTTTCAAAGCACATAGAAATACATGATAAAGGAGAACATTAGCAGAGAGCAATACAACTGATCACAAATGGTAACATCATCACTGTGAGCAGAAGAGGAAAGAAAGTTCTGGGGGTGGACTCTAGGACAAAGGCATTGACTGAAGCAGTCTGATACAAAACACAGAATTATTTATTTCAGTGTTGACAAAGTCAGCATAACATGCAGTTAGATTAATTCCTTGACAGTTTCTGAGGGAATTTTGTCTACAATACAGTTTGAGTTTTGCCCAGGTTCTATCCACAAACACCTGAAATCTGCAGACCAAAAGCAGCAGACACGCCACCACCAGTAATTGCTTTGACCTAGGGGCAAATAATAGGGATTTTTATGTTTTATTTTGCTATTTAAAATAGTATGTGTTATCCTCTTTATTAGTGTAACATACAGATTGAATGTTCAAAGCAAAGAATGAAATTAAGAAATTATTACAGGATATTTGCTTAGAAAGGAAATTGTAAAGGCAGTTCTTGTACCTCTCTTGCTATCCAAACTCAAGGAATTCAACGTTACCTTGTAATACACAAGTCAGCAAAGCAGGCTTTCTATAAGATGAAGTAACTGCTGCTGTCTTCAATATACCCTTCTTTTTTTACCTGGGACTGTGAGATATTATCTTTACTTTCCTACAGCCTCTTTATGTCTGGCAGCATTTTCTTTCTTGAAAAAAAGAGCATACCTGGGACACGTGCTTCTGAAAAAGCACTGTGTGGTAATCTTATATATTTTGATCTTCTCAGGTCCACAGAGAAAAATGGCAAGTTATCTTTTCATCACAGGATATTCATAGCAAATGAAAAAACAAAGATTTTATCAGTCTTTACTGCCCAAAGGAAGTCTATAAGCAGGACTCCTGAGTTATGCAAGTACTGTTCAGAGGCACTGAGGTGGTGTAGTTGAAGTATGTGTAATTCTACTAGTAGAGAAGCTGCCAAGACTACAGTAGAAAAGATTGGCAGTGAAAGTATCCCTGCTGCTCTGGTAGGACAGTGACAGCACAACTTTGCTGTAAGCAGATTAGTTTCTCCCTGACTTGACTGAAGAGGTTACAAGTTAATTTACCCACAGGAATGTAAGTGCAAGCCTTTAAATGAAAAGAGCTGCTGTTGACTTCAGAACAGAGTCACCAGCACTGATGAATTTTTGAAGTCAATTTAAAACTATTTTAGAATAGCTGTTCATTCTTTCAAAAGAGAGTGTGTGCCCTTTTTATTTCTGCCAAAAAACTTCCTAATAGATAATGAAGCAGGACTGAAAAGCCTGTGAACACCACGGAGACACTATTTTTTGCATTGTGGCATATTCATGATCTTTTTTTCTTTGCTTCCTTAACTTTTTTTTTTCAACTTCCTAATTTTATTTCTGTTTGGTGTGTGTGTTCATTTTAGTGATAGTATAGTTCATCTCAAGTTATTTAATGTTAACTTGTGAATACTACTCTGAGGCTCCTAGCAGACTTAATATCATATTAGCCACCTAGTCATCATGCTTCCCGTGTCAGCTGGAGAACAAAATAAATATGTTGGAAGTACTTAGCATAAACCTATTTCTTCAAAATGGCTATGTAGTTTCACTTTGTCAAAATACCTACGTGTTGGCTTTCTTTGCTGTTTAAATGCTGTTCTATCTGTTCCTAACTTCCCCTGTTTAACAGCAGACAAACCCAGGGAGCACTGAATGAATCGGATGATCCCGAAACGGGCTGTCTAACTGATAACAAGCCAACTTCTCGACACTTCTATCCTGTCGCCTTGCTGCTTGTCAGCTCACACTTGCTGGTTGTGTGGCTTATTTTAAGTCTTGCTTTGCTATTAGCCAAATATCAATAAACTTCACTTGTGTTCCTTTCTTTTCTACAAACAGCAACAAACTAACTTTAGAAAGAGGAATTATGTTGTTAATATTTCTACAATCTCAGACCCCAAGGATTCATCTTTAAGATGCAAATGTCTGAAATGTACTGTGTTTTCGTTCTTTTTTTTCTTAACTCTGAGAAGTATACTATGCATTGAGTGAATTGGTTTGCTCTTTCTGTTCATGGTAAAGCTTTTCCCACTGTAATTAGCGCAAAGAAAAGCGCACTTACGATGCTGTCACTGTATAGAATATGTGGAATCCTGAATGCTTGAACCCCTCTTTCCAGAGTAATTAGTCTGACAAAAAAAAAAAAGTATTAAAAATGAATTTGCACAACACAAACTAACCCCTAGACAAATATGGCAGGGCGGTGGTTTGTGAGACTTAACTTTCATTGTGGTTTTTTTGTCGTTACTAGCTGATGGGATTGGTTTTGTTCAATGAATGATTATTACTTCGCCACAACTAACCCCTTTCTGTAGAGTAACTAAATGGAATAGCATCGGTTCTGTTTTGTAATGAAATTAACCTGTTTGTAATTGTTGCTTTAGTTGCTTTTGCTTTCGAGACACTTTTATATTCTTTTTAACAAAGTCCTGTTTATGTCTTGATGCACCACTTTGGCACTTGTGACTTTTGTACTGTATGTGAACGAACATCCTTCCTTTATAAAACAGAGAGGTGGATTGGGCTGTTTGAGAAGCCATTCTCTCTTTTTTTTTCTTTTTTCATTGCAAAGCTGAACATACAGGAAATGAAACAGAGATGAAACTTTCCTTCTCAAATCTCTAGGGCCAGACTTAATAAAATGCCTTATTCCTAGAATACGCATTTTTAGGGCAATGTATTCTCGCACATATATAGCAAACAAATTGAAAAAAAAAGTATGAAAAGATTTAAAAGTCAAATATATTTCTGGAATTAGAACAAAATGTATCATTAAAGTATTTAATTTTTTTTTTACTAAACTTTAAACCTCAAGGGCAAATATATTAGGGGGGATGGAAAATCTTTATCACCTATTTCTGAGGGCAATAACTGTACTGGGCCTGGCCTTGGATTTAATTTTGTAAGATGTATCATCACTTGTGGAAAACAAAAATGTAGAGTTGAATCTTTGTTATTTTTACTTCAACTGTTGCTGAAACTCTGCAATGAACAAATAAAGCATATTTATTTATTCTGTGTTTCATGAAGTTGTACTTTTTCCCCCTTTCACTAGAGAAGGATGCCGCATAGAGAATGTACTGAAGAATGTCAAATGCAGAAAGTATGCATTCAACATGATACAGCTGATGGCTTTCCCAAAGTACTACAGACCTCCAGAAGGGACATATGGAAAAGCTGACACCTAAGTTTAACAAAAGTGTAATCAGGAACATACATCATGCTAATTAGTGAATATAACAACCGTTGTTTATGACGTATTAATTGGCAATGTGTAACCAGTTGAGGTGTTATTTTTACCAGGTTTTATCATTTTACATTAAAATAACTCTGGTTAGTCGATATGAACTAAAATACCATGAAAAAGCAATGGACTGGATATTCTCAAAATCAAATATATTCAACTTATCTTTGTGAAGCTGAAGCTCAACATGACTCATAAGCCAGCTGGAAATAGTTTTTTGGGTTGTTTGATGAGGATTAAAAAAGGGAAATGGTGTTTGCTCTAGGAACTGAGGTTAGCAATCTGGAAGGTGGCATTCTGACTCCAAACCAAAACCTGATATTTGATTTAAGGGGTCTCTTACTGCTGGAAATGGTGTTTTCTGGAACCAGCAGAGCACTGAGGTCTTGATCACTAATTAAATCCTTCACAGAAATGTTTATGAAAGATGCTAATATCTGGGATAAATATAATTTTGGTAATTACATTTAGCTTCTTTACATAATATGTTTTTAGTAATTGCAACCTGTAATTTCAGTAATTCCATTCTGATTCCCTGCAGTTCATTTGGATGTGTCATTCTTGGCTTTCTGTACCACAGCCAAATACCACTTATTTCACTTTCAGATAAATCACACTGAAATCAAGGGGATTAATTCTACAAGTAAGGTGACCTGAATTTGACCTCCTATTTACTGTAAACCCTTAAAAGTAAACTTGCTTTAGTAGTAGGGAAAATTAGTTGTATATACAGGAGTTAATATATCTTGAGGCTATAAAAACATGTATGTTATTACAGAGCCTAAAATAAATTTTATAGTTATGAGTTAACTCCTGTATTAGGACTAGTTAACCGCTGCAGATGATTTATATCAGATTTGTAATGCTGCAGGTAGACACTCTAGGATGAAGAACCATCAGCTTTAAAAATTAGTGTTAATGCTCTGCCAGTTTGTGTTAGTCCTGAAATTTGTCTTGCAAAGAACATTCGTGTTTTCTAATTGTATCTATTTATTACCTTCTTCAGACTCCCAGAGAGAAATACAACTTAAAACGCCTAAGTATTCACTGACCCTAATATAACTGACCCTTATGTCATTACATTAATTTTCATATCTAAAGCAGAAGTATGAGAAATTTATCTTAATGTAACTGCCCTGGGAATTTGAGCATCTGTAGGAAATTGTAATTGCCATGGATAAAGAAGTTAATGTTTCCTTACTCCTATGGAAGTCAAAGAAATCTTGATAAACCATGAGTTATAATTTGTTCTTTTTAATCCATTAATACCCATTACTAGGTATAAATCTGTAACTATAGTAGTAAGAATTTAAGAGCTCATTTCTGCAAATTCTGTTTGGGTGATCACTTGGAAATGATCTATCATATGGCTAAGATTAAATCCATCTTGTATATTTGCAAGATTAAGCTTTGGGGCTTCTAGGAAAACATCTGAAAGAGATCCTTGTTCTACTGATTAATGACTTCAGTGGAGCCAGAAATTCAATATATTAACTAATTGGAACTTTTTTAATCAAAGTAAAGTAGGCAATGTAAATAGTGTTTTGTTGCATTAGTTTTTTATTTCTATTATATAATGTGCTGTCACTAGTTACCTCCTTGTTCTCATAATGTATTACTTCAATATATGTCAGAAGAGTTGGCATTGCATCACAGATAAGTTCAGACAGATGAGAACATAATGCCTTGATTTTTTTTCTTGTCATGTACCCGTACAAGTGGGCAATACTTATTGGATGGCTGGATGTGTGCATAAATTAGTGTTTGGGCCTTTAACTATAACTTAGCTGATCTGTACAAAACTTCTTTGTGGATTTATGGAATGTAAACCTTCCGAGGAAAGTCATGTTTTGTTCTGTCAGGTTGTCTCGCTAGCCCTCACTATCTACATGTTTATTATTAGCTTAAAAAGCCCTGCATGGGCAGTTTAGAGATAGTGATAAATTCCTTGTGCATCTCTGAAGCAACCCCACAGGTGTACAGTAGGAAATGCCAGCCTTCTCACAGAAATTCTGCGTGGGGATGGTATTTACTGATTGGTACTGTGGGTATTTTTATCTGAGTCCCATGGGCATTTTGTTAAGTTCAAAATATGAAATTATCTAGATTTTCTTATCGGGAAAATAATCTTTCAAGATTTTGCCTCAGCATTTTAATCCTACTTGGGTTCTAAATTGTCCCCTGCCATTTTACTTTTTGTCTTGAACATGTTTTTCACATTGAAGCCACGTTTTTGGTGAGGAAGAAGAAAAATGGGCACTGAATTATTGTTTTAACAGCCACTCACAGTATGTGCTTTTGAAAAGAAATAATCTCTCATTTCTAAAAATAATTAAGAAAAAAAACCCCTAAACTCACATCAGTGGGCTGCAGTGAAACTTGACTGTACTTGGGCCATTACAGAAGAGTAGGGGTGAGTTTTGTGCTGAGTAAGTCTGAAAACTTTCACACAAATTTTTTGATTAGAACATCTTATTGTAGGTCACGAGACCCTTGTAAAACCTGTTGACGTGGTTCCAACACTTCTGGAAGAGCCTTATTGCCTCAGTAATGAAACAGGCTCAAAAGTTTTGTTGTTTTGCTGTAGCCTGCTAATGCAGTCCATGAAAACAAGGGCTGTGCCATCAACTGAGATTTCAGCTGATCATGGATTCAAAATTACTGGGTTCTCTGGTTTGCCTTTTATGAAGAATCAAAGGGAAGTTTGCTGCAGGTTGATAGTTACGTGGCTTGGAGCATTAGTTACATTACTCTTTATAGCAGCTGCTTCAAGCCTGGGGCCTCACACACAGTCTTGTAGCTCACTGTGGATATCAGAGGAGTAAAATTAAACAGACTAGTTTTTATAAGCAAACTAGATTATTTGTTTTGAAAAGGGTTAAGGTAAGCATACTGATTTTGGTGGTGGCAGATATGTTCCATATCTGCTCTCTTAAAACATTTGAGAGAGTTTGTAAGGTACCTTACCTTACCTTTATACCTTGCCTTTTGTAAGGTATAAAATAATCTGCTTTGAGGGGAGAGCAGTTCTCAAGGGCTAAAAGATAAAAATTCAAAGATATGTCTGGCATCTAAAGCCAAATCTTGTCTTACTCACAGAAGATGTTATTTGTAGAAATAAGGTCATCAGGATCTGTCTTGAGAAATCCTGAAATAAGGGCTTATAGCTTTGAATATTTGTACAATGCATTACATGCTTATATGGGAGTTTTGTACCACAGACTAGTGTCTAACTTGAGAGCTAGTATAAAATGCCTAAAAAAATTAGGAAAGTTAAATAATTTTTTCTCAGAGATGATTGTAATATTGTCATAATACATAACATGCATAGGCCTGACATTATTAGGCAGGCAGGTCTTTTTTTCTGCAGTCTTCTTTTGGGGAATTTAAAACACGTTCTTGTTAATGTTTATACTTCAGCTTTTATGGAGCAATTAGGAAACAGAAATTTTTAATTATGTTATCTGATTTTTGTCTATGTGAAGGTGTATTTTGATGGAGTACTAGCAATGTCTGTGGTATATAGATAAAATAATTTAGGAGGACAGCTGAAACAAAATACTAACTGAGAAAGAGCCTTAATGAAGTCCTTTGCAACGTTAATTTTTGTACTGTCTGAATTTCACTGTTACGTAAGTGAAATAAGGAAATTAACAAACACTTTCTGTGTCTAAATCAATCACTCCTGATGAAAATTCACTTATTTGCAATGGAATAAATTGTAATGGTATTCTAAATTTCCACTAGTAATTTAGGTATAAAGAAGTGCAACACATCATTTTGAAGCCCACTGTATAATATGCCTATTAAGAGTTTCAGGAAAAACTTACTTTTATTTCTAGATCAAACACAAGTTCATGAAATCCTATGGTCCATTTATAAAAAGCAGAAAATGCAGTGAACATCAACTGGTGTAATAAAAAAGGCAATTGCATTAAAAACTGCAGCACAATTACTTGTATGAATTAATGTATGTAATCAGTTAATAGTCTTAAACATATATTCTGTCAGTTGGCTATATTGTAAACTTGAAACCATTGATATCTATGCTCTTTTTTTTATTGTAAAGAAGTGTACTGTATAGGCAATGCCATGAGACATGAATTTGCTTCTTGCTTTTCACTTCCTTTCAGCTTAAAAGCAGGTGTTTACAATGGAAATGCTTTAAAATAATTTGCTGCTCTTTAAAACACAGACTTACCTTGTAAATGGCATGTTTACCAAAAAACCACACAAATGCTTTTTTACAGGAAAGAAAAAAAAAAGAGAAAGAGAAAAAAAAAAATCCCAGACTTCAGTCTCTAGAACATTGCTTTTTTTTCCCTTAGTCATGCAACACATTGATTGTTGCGTTGCCAGAGCATTCAACTTTCACTCTGCAGCACTCAAACATTTATTTGCTCTTTCTCTCATAGCATCTGCTGAATAAGTAATATAACAGCCATGGATTTCAGCATGATACTCACGATTCAACATTTAAAAACTCGCATTTGCTCAGATATGAGACTTAATACTTCAGGGTAAATAAAATAGAAGTCACTTGTGAGCCAATATGTTTGTATTCCAAAGAGCTGAAGCACAAAACACATGGATTGTGTTCTGACTGGGAGAAAGAGTGACAGGAGGAATCTGACTGTGATAAGAGAGGCCCTGGATCTGCAGGGTTTGGAGTGGTGGGTTTTGAACCATTCTGCTCTTACTTAAATCTCTAACTGTTGGCAAGGGTGTTTGGTTACTCTTTCCATGCATGCAAAATACTTTAAAAGTTTTCAGCATTTCTGTTCTGTTTATGAATAGTCTGACTTTAAAATTTCTAGAATGCCAAATTACTTTGGTACTTGTTTTCCTTTTGTGTAGCTGTCCCTTGTAATGTTCCTGTCTTACATTCTGGAGCACACAGGGCTATGTATAAGTAACATTAACAGGACTTCAGTCTGTGTTTGTTCAGAGAAATGAAGCACAATGATAGCAATTCAATGCTTTTTATATTTCAGAATTTATCATTTTTGTTTCATTGCTGTCTGTAAGCCATGTCCATTGAACACTGTGTATATATTTTTATTTAAATAAATGTAATGTTTATTTTTTATGTTTCTGACTTTTTTGTTTGTTACTCATTTTTCATTTTCATTATGGTGGTGTTGCCCAGAGGGCATATTGTGCATGTCAATGAGGGTGGGTTTCCTCCCACATGAGTTGGTGGAAGCCCACTCGCAGGTCTTGTTCACTGCTAGGAGCAAGTATTTAAGAAAAGTTCAAAGATACAACAGTTTAAAGCCTGCAATGGCCAAAAATTAATTGTTCCTAGTCTTGCTGCAACCAGGTGGGTCCTGCATTTTCTATTTCAAAACAAACAAAACATTCACATGCCCACAAGGAAATCCCTTTCACATAACTGTTGATCTGTAGAGAGTTGTTCACTGTAACAGGTGGAGTCAACATCTTTCATGATGAAGACTATTAAAAAGGTGACATGGCATGCTTTTTCTGGTGTTACATCTTCACCATCCCAATGCTGGAACTTGGGAAGTAAGTACGGGTTGCTTCTTTGCTGTTTTTCTTTTTGACCTGCTGTTGATATCTAGATTTATATGATCTGTCACCACATGGAAGGTAAGTTCCCCATGAATGGCCAAAATGTAGCAAATAGACCTTCTTTTTGAGTGTATGATAAAACATGGCTCACCTTCTGTATTATCAGCACTGTGAGTAGAAGGTTGTTGCATAAT